TGTCCTGGCTGTGCCCCCTCCCAACTTCTTGTGCACCTCCAGCCTTCTCAGTCGGTAGAGCATGGGAAGCTGAAAAGTCCTTGATTTAGTGTAAGCACTACCTAGCAACAACTAAAACATGGGTGTGTTATCAACTTTGTTCTCATCCTAAATCCAAACCACAGCACTGTACCAGCTACTAGGAAGGAAATTAACTCTATCCCTGCCGAAACCAGGACAATATTGTATAGTACTGGTGACACACATCATTGCAGAGCAGTGTCAGATTTTTAGCCCCCTTAGGTTGTTTTTTATGGTTTTAGGAGCTAATTTTAAAATAGGTTACTTTTCCATTTTTCTATCTAAAATTATCTCAATTCTGCATTGTATTCCTCAAATCTTTCTTACATCTGATGTTTCAAGTAGATTGGTTTTGATCTGCTCAGGTTTAGAGAGGAGAACAGGCACTTAAGAGTGAAGATAAAGAAATTACAATAAAAAGCTAGCATGAAGAAGCATACCCCTCTTTCTAAACAAGAAATACCAACTGGTGGCTGATTCGGGCAAGCAGTAGTCCCAGGTAACTGATGTCATTCACGTCATCGCTCACATTTGCACAGTGCTGCAGGTAGCATGTGCGTTTGCTGGAACAGGATCCAAGCTGATTGCAGAGTGAACTGTGAAAGATAACAGTACTGTGGTGGGCCAACATGCATGCGAAAGAGGAAAATATTCCAGGTTGAAGCTTCTCATGCAGGCCTCTTCAGTGTGTATTGCAACAGAGGTAGGCTTGGAAGCTAGCACAGAAAAACAAACAGACAATCAGCCTATGGCTGAGGAAACATCTGATAGGCTTAGTGGATGCAGTTGTCCTGTCTGGTCTGATTTGTCACTGTACCTGTATACTCCTGTGGAAGGTGGTTTTATGCTGGTAAGGACTGCAGGCTAGAGGAGATGGGGTGTAGACACGCTCTTCTTCCCAAAGACAGGGGGAACTTATGGTAGAGGAGTAGTCAGCTGGGGGATGGTCTCTGCGTTTGATATCTGCAAACATCGTGGCGGTGTTCAGTGAAGGTGTAGATGTGCAGATCTTGGCAGGGTGAGCTGTGGTCCTGCCCCCTTTTGCTAATTCAGCAAGACACCCTTAATTTAACTAAGGCAGTCATCTCCTGGCATAGCAAATGGGACAGGCATCCAAGGAAGTGTGACACTTCTGACTTGGATGGACTAAATGGAGTGTAACCACCTCCTAGGCTGGGGCTCCAAGTACAAATGGTACATGTGCCATTTGGTGGGCAAAATTGCTGGCCTCAATGGCAAGCAGTGGTAGTCACCACCCCATATAATGAGACGCAAATTTATTTCCTAGCAAATGTGCCATATAAAGGGAGATCATTGCCATGTTCATATTACAATGGTTTCTTTTTGTAGAACTACAGTTTTCAGGTCACTGGCTGAAAACTACAGGAACCAGCAGTTTTAGTGTCTCCAACACAATGACAATTCCTCCTTCCAGTGGAGCCGTGACTAATAACTTTGTGTGCACTGTGCATCTCTTTTTATGAAAAGAGGCAAGATAAAGATAAGGGTTTTTTGATACTTTTGAAACTTAAGGCCTTATCTAAAATCCAAGAACATCAGAACGATATTGGAACCTTTCCCGTTGCTTTCCATGGCATATAAAAGCTTTCTTTGAAAGACCACCTGAAATAAGATTGCAGAACATCTTGTGTACAGATTTACTGCTTTGAACTCCAGAGTGTTACAGAATAAAAGAAAATTTAAAAATGCCATACAATTTATCTAGAACACAAGATCTGAAGCAGCAGAGTATGGAGAAATGGGTGAGTTTGCTTCAGGGATGAGGACAACACTGAATATATTCCCTGTTCTGGGGGACTGTCCTTGTCCTGGAGCTCTTTATTCAGCTTTTTTAATAGCTTTTGAAAAATTCAGGTAACCAGAATTTCCCAGAATATTGTGAATCAGGCAGGTCATACCATGCCTAATTTAGTGGATGTGGGATAATTACCATTCCTGTAATATTTTCCAAATGATGCTGACTGCAGGGAAAGCTGACACTTTCCTTACTGGGGGGTGAGGATTGGGCCTAGGACTGCTTGCTTTTTAACAGTAGGTGTGGTAACAACAGCCTTCACACAATAGATGAATTATTTGTCCCTCTGGCTTTAAAGTCTGTAAATTTGAGTTCTCCAGATGTTGAAGCCCATGTAGGAAATGTCCCATTTCTCTCTTTTTAATTCTATTGCAAAATTGCAGAAGGTGTTAATTTTACTTTATAATGTAACTTTTTTACAGGTGCAGATTCGCTCTACAGAAATAGTTTCAGCCTCAGTGATGAAAAGCTTAACTCTCCAACTGCATCTACTCCAAGCTTGCCATCTCCATCAGTAACTCCATGTAAAGGTAAACTTAATTTTAACTGTTGACATTTCTTCCTAATTCTCAACTCTACAGGCTTCTTTCTGTGAGCCAGGATTCACATGCATGTGTTGACTCTTTTTTTTTTTTAAATTACAACAAAACTAAGGATTGCTGTTAAGCAGACTACAGATGCAAGTATTATTGCGTTGATCACAAACAGTGATAGCACACTGCATCCACACTTCTTCACAGGTCACCCAGCAACTCTTCTGATTTTGAAACACCCAACTGTGTTAGAGTTCTTTTGGTTGATCAGGAATTGTGGTACACCTTACAGAATACTTCACAATTAACTTGTGTTACTTCTTACTGAAGCACCTAAGTAGCTTAAGTGTCCCATCTATATACAGAAATACTTAGCCTGAATGCAGGGGTGCAGTAGGTGACTCCTCCGAAGCTATATGCTGCCATTCAAGTTAACACGATTACTTAGATCCATACAGACCTTGCACTGCTGATACAACCCATGTATTAGTAATTCCTTCCTCCTTTGCAGCTATGCTGTTTAAAAGTGGCTTCTGTCTTGCAGCTGATCTAACTCCCCAGGAGCTTGTTTCATTCAGGTGAACTTAAATTAACTCTGGAGTAGACGTATTGATAAATGAACAGTCATACATATGTACTACATGGTGCTTTCGTTACAACTAGTCTTTTCAGATGCATGCTCAAGACCTTTTCATGCTTTCATGTCTTTTCCACAGTGACCAGTCACAAAAAAACAAGTTAAATGCTTTCTTTATAATCAGCACGATACGAGGGAGAAATAATGAGTAATAGTTAAGAAGTAGCAAAAAAGAGTTCAGTTAAACTGGCAGGAAATACTTGGCAAGGAATTACACTAAAGGTTAAGATGCTCTTCCTGATGAGAAGACAAAAAGACAGAAATAGAGTTGAAACCGGCTTGGAATAGACCACAGAAATGAGATAAGGAAGCCACTTGCAGTAAAACTAGATTGAATGGAAGCAGTGGTGTTCTCAGGAGTGGAAATTTAGGTGGATGTTTGGATCCAAATTTGTAGTGTATGGACCAAGATCAAAGGATCTGACATCACAGCAAACCAGTGATACTGACATGATTTAAGAGGCTTAGATTTGTGTAGGAACTGGGAGCTGACTGGGTGGGGTTTGATTAGGGCTGTGAATGCAGTATCTGAATACATGCAATAAGGAAGACTCCCACACTAGCAAGGATATGGATTAGTTGACATACCGCTTTTTTTTCTCCACTTCAGCCTCTGTTTTTTAAGGTAACTAAACAGAGGATTGCTCTGCTTTGCTTCTGTCAAATGGAAAACTATAAACTAGAATTTTAATTCAGTCTCCCCTGTTTTCTAAGAATGTATTTGGACATTGCAGCAACCCTATTGAACGTACCTGAAAATAATCCACAGCATGTTTGATACCACTGAAAATGATTTGGGGGATTGTGTGGTTCCAGTGTTTCTTTTGGCCAGAGAAATATGTCATGTTTAAGCAGTATCGGCTGTGTGTTACTTTGCAGCAAAGCTTGGAGACACAAAAGAACTGGAAGACTTCATTGCTGATCTTGACAGGACACTAGCAAGTAAGTAGGTTTTTATTAGTAGGCTGCATCTCACTTGGGGAGTGATGAAAACACATCACAAAGAGTGATGAAAACCAATGTATGGGAGGAGGGAGAAGGGAAAAAGGGTAGCAATAGTTTTATATAACGTGGCTTCATTTTAGTTTGCTAGTCCTATGGATCTTTATGTGGATAAGAAGGTAAAATGGACTAAATTCTGGTCTTTGCCTGAATGTTCAAGGCATGCAGTTTAGCTTATGTGACCAAGGCTGTACTCCGATGAACCTCTGTCCCCACCTCTGAGGCAGCTGCAATTCACCCCTCCTTGACAGTGTAGTGATCAAGTAAACATCACTTTCTTAAATACTCAAAACTCAGCTAAAAAGTGGGGCTTTGTTTCTTTATTATAAAGCTGGGTAACTGGAGGAGTAACTGGAGGTGAGGGAAACCTTTTTATTCTAGACTTTGCTTTATGAAAGAATTAAGGAGCAGGTATCTGTATCTATTGACTTAGATTAAATGTCAAAATCCTGTTTGTTCTTGTCTTTACCAGAAATGGAATTTAGATCACTTTTTCTGTCACTATCTAGAAATTGTATTTTCCGGTTACAGTACTAGGTTCTTCACTATGATTTTTAAAGAAAAAATCAAAACTAAAAAAATGCCCTCCTATTCCCAACCATGTACTCTGCCTATTCTCTCTGCCTCTTCCTGTGCTGTTACAGACATGATACTGTTTGGTGGTTGGGTTTTTTTTGTATGGAACCAGACTATAGAGCCCAAAACAACAAATTGTAGGACTAGACCTAAACAGCAGCATGCACAACCCCCCCCAATAAACTATGAACTGAGAGTTTCTTGTATTCATTAGGTATTTTCCCTTCCCTGTAATTCTTGAAGCCTTGGCCATCTGCCTTGGATTTAACTCAAGACAGCTGCCCTTATGAGCTTCCTACTTCCCTGTTGTCTTGTATCTTAATCCTGGTTTCACTTCTCTTACTTAAAATATATTTCTAGTTTCCTGACTTCTGTCATGGACACATGCTTGAGCTAACTCCATCTTTACCACTGAAACCTCATTGACTGATTGCTCTTCTGATAAACTTCTGAGTCTGAAGGTTTGTGTAGAACAGTGAAACGCTCAAACCACCAAATACTGACATTGCTGTGTCTTGCACAGCCGTGTTGCAGCTAACTCTTCAGGGGCTGCCTATAGTGTATTGGTTTCATTGTCCCCTTGCAAGGCACATCTAAGGTGAAGCCAGGGATTGCCACCTGCTGTAGTGGTTTTGGTGTATTTTTTTCTCCCAACTAAGCAAATCTCGAGCTATTTCAGCAGAGTCTCATTTATACAGTGTCACTTGTCTTACAGTGATACGCTATCTTTATTATTCGTGGAAATTCTGAGGAAAGAGACCAACTTCCATCTGATATTTATCATCACACTTTTAAGGAGTTGTTGTATTTATATGCTTGAAGTTACACTGAACTTTGTACAGATGTCTTTTCAAGCCTAATGCACTTGTTAGAACAGTAATCGCCTCAAAATTTTACACGCTAACCTTTTGGCTCTTGTGTTAATTAAAAAAAGGCGTAATTTTGGCCTGTCAGGCAGTCTAGCAAGCTGAGTGTAGATAGAGTGTCTGGTATGTCAACAACATGCAATCTTGTTTAATATAGGACTTAATGATCTTGTTTTGTATTTCCAGGTATGTGAAATGAATCTTTGGCATTGTGCTTGCCTATGAATGTCCTCTGAAGGATAAGCGACATCAATCACTGAACTGCTGCCCTTGTCTGATAACTTTGCTACCCCAGATATCCACCTTCTGAACATAACCTTTGTAAACTCCTACAAGTATTTAACTGGCAACATCAGTTTTGTTACTTTGCAGCAGATGGAATAAGATAACTTCAGTGTTACAGCTGTATTTTGCTTTAAAACATAGCTTGAATTTTAATTTAAAGTTGCTTTTATGAAAATATATTTGTAATTTTATATAGTTGAGAACTTTCAATGCTTTTTTCCATTATAATATATTTTTGTATGCAAATAAACCCTGAACTGGAATCCAGATGTCCGAAAGCTTCGTGTGAACTCTGAAACATTAAGTACAAATTAAGCTCTTATTGAAAACGTCAAGCTTTAAAATATCTGATAAGGGTGTATTTCCTGTTAGGCAAAATGTGTGATGCTGGCTTCATGTGGAACTTCATATTCTTCTTTTCAAATTGCTTAAATAAGAGAATTTTGTACTATGTAAAATTAATACAATGAGGGAAATGATAAAATTGGTTAGACTTCAGATTTGCTTTAATACAAATGAAATAATACTGACTTAGTACAGATTTGAACAATAACACCTATTTCAAACCCTATGTAAAAGCTAGCTGTAAAATTCCATAGCATTCTACAAGAAGTACTGATTGGGAGGTCAGACACTTAGGCCCATGGGTTTAAAGGTATGGAGGTCCTGTAGGACCAAGAAAATACTTAAGTGTCTGGATGTTTCTGGTACCAGACCCTTGGGTCCAAAACAGTGTACCACTCTGAAAAGACTTCCTGGCCATCAGTCTTATGCTGAAAGAGTGGAAGGTGAACCTGTATTTTCACAAGGAACCTGATTCTTCCCATATGCATTAGGCACTGGAGATGTCATTACGTGAGCTCTCCTCCAGCTGCTGCAGGCATTACACTTGGCTCTGCTGTCTGAGCTGCTCATGCCATTGCTCTCTGATCTGTTCAGACTGAGTGAGCTGGGCTGGTTTGAAGTCCAGGTCTTATTTTGACCAAAGCAGGCTAGCGAGCAGTTGCATGAGTGGTTCAGGTATTGTGCCCCCTTGGTCTGTTACCATCTTTGAGTGTGGCTGTGGCACAGCTACCAGCCAGTTGCTTAGGGACCTTAAAGGATGGATTTGGACCTGTGTTCTGCAGCTAGGGGAAAGTCTACTGTGTATTTGCTAATGGGAACACCGGGAGGATGATGCAACTCCATCTTCCTGCTTTGGATTTTCTAAAAATTGACCAAAACATTTGGATCTTGTTAAACACCATATGATTTTTCCAGTTTTATTCATTGGTAAGAATGAAATTCTGAACTGGGTACGTTTTAATCAGTCTGAAACAACCTTGAGGTGGGTGGGTGGGTTTTTTCCTTCTTTCAGGCAGAAGGGCAATGTAAGATGGTGGATTATTTTTCTGAAGAGGAAGAACTCCCTTCAGCGTTTCCTACCGTAGATTTAGGTGGTAAATTGTCCCTTAGAACAGAAATGGAGTGAACTGACTCAGGAGGGTGAAGTTTCCTGTTGCTCTAGGTGAACTGTAAAGTCTGAAGGAAGGTGGGATGGTTCAAGTTCGAGACAGTGATGTGCTTCTGCATGCTCTGGGTCATTCTCAGAGGCTCCTGCATAGCAGGCAACCCATTTTGAGCAGCAAGGTAGGCTTGGAAATTCACTGCTACTACACGATAAACACACGCGAGCAAATCCTCCTTTTGGCTGCCTCTGTGAAACTGAGAGGGGAGCCTGGCCCTTCTCCCCGGTCCCGGATGCAAAGGGATGTGTTGCTGGGCGAAGCCAGGGAGGGGGGTTCCCTTGGCTGGTGTAGGACTTGCTGTTACGTGGGGAGGGAGAGGCACTGTGCCTTTCAGTAGAAGGTGAGGGAAGGGGAACCAGGAGAGCTGAAACAAGCTCACGCTTTTCTTTTAAGAAACATCTTTGGCATAAGGCATGTTTTTAAAGGTACTTGAATAGCAGCAGCAGTTTTGGCTGGCTTTCTGCGTTTTAATGCTCTTTGCTAGGGTGAACGATGGAGTGGTGGTGAATGGTGGACGTTACCGTCCCGAAGGCAGAATACCCCAACTAAGCGCGTGTTAAATAAGACACGAGTTTCAGAGGAGGCCACCTCAAGCGATCGCGGGGTATGGGGGAGATGGACGGCTGTTTGTTCCTCCGTTCCTCAGGTTGGATTGTTTGAGGCATTGGTGTGAGTTTTCCACTTCCCCTCTGCACGTTTAGTTGTCGCTCGATCCTGTCAAACACTCTGGGCCTATAATCAGTATTTAAAGTTGGATGTCTCCCTTTATAGAGTGATATCACCAAATTAGTACAGTACTACTTTGGAATGGCAATACTTTGTCCTTACAGACACCCAATTTTGAAGATTTTTCCGGTATAAGCAAAGGCTTAAAGCAAGGCGTGTTCCTCACTTTGTGTAACATCAGTTGGGGATGAAGTTGGGGATTAGGTCACCATCTGTTTGGCTTTTTTAATCTTATTTATGCATGAACAGGTGGAGACTTCTGCTTGCTTATACAGCAGTTCTGGAGATCATCGGCTGCAAAATCTGGGAGTGTCTTGTGCGGAGCTGTTGAGCTAAATTCCCTCCAGTTTATTATGCTCATTTTTGAACATCTTGCTGTGTCGGAAGGAAGGCACTAATGTAGATGTCATTTCACTGGCGTATGCTTATGACTTAAGTTCATCATCTAATTACATACGGCACTGAAAAATGCATTACTGAGAAAAGTTCCTGCAATACTCTATCCCCAGTGAGTATTGCTGGAGGCAGCGCTGTCCTTATGGACCAGCCTGACTTCCTTGTTTTGACCTCCCTCTTGTGCTGTGATGCTGAGTTTGGATTCAGAAGAGAGTCTCGGCCCTGTCATGTCAACACCACTCATCCAGAAATGGAAACGAGGAGCTTAGACTAAGCAGGTGTATTGCTGCAGCTTAACGTGTGTAAGGTGAGGTGCAACAATTATTTGCACGTATGCTCTTTACCTATTGTAAATTCAAGGTTAAATGGATTAGTTTAAACCTCCATCACTGAGGCTTGAGCTAATGTGTCTTATCTTGGGTTTGCTGTTGACTGTGTGTGCCCTGGGTGCCGTCACCCAGGCTCAGCTGATACGTGGTAACTCATTAAGCTTGGTAATGTGCTCATTTTTCTGAGCCCTTAATAGAGAGAAGAGCCAAAGGAGGGATTTTTTTCTTTTTCCTGACTGCATGTGTGTCTGTAGCCACTATTGATGCACTGACAGCCAGGTGAGTTTATGGGAGGGAGGAAAACAGTTGCGTTGGCAGTGACGGAGCTTGCTTATAGGGAAGGGCTCAGCCCCTGCCAGCTCCTACAGCCTGTTGTCCCAGTGCCTCCCCCGCTCCTTCGTTACAGGTATTTGCTTTGCAGTACACGCTGGGCGTGGAACTGATTTTCAGCAGGGTTGCCTAATGCGAAGGGTCAGAGAGGGGACGAGAAACCATGTTCACAGCTTCACAGATTCATTTAAGCCTTGGTTTCAGTAGTGGACGCTTGCAAAGAGAAAACCCACACAGAGCGCTTCTGCTTGCTGGGAAACATTTGTGCCTGCAAACACAGATTTTTTTTTAGTTTGTATCATTAATTGTTGCTTTTAGATCATTGTCCAGCTGCTTCACACCCTGCGTGAAGTGAAAAGAATTCACTGGTGGGAAAGGTCCACCCAGCATGGGTCTCTGTAGAGGAACTCGGAGTTCATCTCGGGTGGTGTTCAGCTCGGATGGACCCGGTTGACCATCCGAGAGGTATTTGCACTACACTGGAGCCCATCTTACGTGAGACTTCATTTATCTGAAGGTGCCTGAATGTGCTAGACATGACATCTGCTAGACTGCTGGAGAGAAACTTCCAAAGTTGTGATGTTTGGAAGCAAAGCGAGTATCATAAAGCCAATATGACGGCAGCAGCTCTTGAACTAAATCCAGCTCGGCATACTAACAGCACGAACTCCATATTCTCAACGGGGAAAACTCCGGTTTTCTATGTTACTTTCTACATTACTGACTTCATTGCAGCCTGGCTAACAGCTCTAGCTGTCTAAATAACTTCACAATAATGTAAGATGATCCTGGCTGCTATATCTCATCGGCTTAGAGTTGTAAACCAGATCTTTTCAAGGTCCTTTTCTTTCTTACAGATTTGAAGCTATCAGTTAAATGCTGTAGATTGGCTTGTGGGATTAAAGCAGGCCAGTCAGTACAAAAGGATGATAATGCTTTGGTTGCTTTTGCTCTTTCATGTCTACATTTTGGAAACTAAAACATTTATCAGTTCAGCTCTTAAAAACTACGGACTAGAGGCCTGCACCTCCATTCTTCCCGGGCATGCAGAGCTCACTGGCTTCTCTGGGAGGCTTGAGGATGCTTAAATAGGCTTCAAGCTGGAAGCGAGTGTTGCCTTCTCCATAGCGTATGGCTGTAATACTGACCACTATCTTTCGGTTCTGTTTATAATGTATTTCAGATCAGTATTTATAATTAAGAATGATGCCCTTGTCTCAAAAAACAAATCACAGTATTTTGGTATATATGCAGTCTTCACATTTCAAAAAAAAAAAAAAAAAATCTTGCTAGTGTGTCAAATCAAGTCAGGACCAATCCAGCCTGACTTAGGCTCTTAGATAAAACACCGAAGTTAGGATGTTGCCCTTGGCTCCTTCAATAGCCATTACAAGGAGAGGGAGGCTGAATAATCCCCTGATGATGTTCCTTTGCTACAGCGAATATTGCAAGACTGTGGACAAGCAGACTTTTCACTTAGGCTTCTTAATCAACTGCCTAAAGAAAAGTTTGCGTGTCGAAGTAAACCTGCCTATGACTGGCCTTAGAGTATAACAGTTTGTGGGGCTGGAAGAGCAGAGGCAAAACTACCCAGCTGGCCAGGGTGACCTGTTTTGGGGGCTTTGCATCACATTGTGCAAGCACAACAGCTTGCTTCAGCCCTGTGACTTGGGGCATCTGTCCCCCCCGCCATGCCGGGCAGGGTAACAAAGGGGGACCCCAGGTTGGTGCTTGGGTATCACGGCGCCGACCTCCAGTCGTTTGCTTTTTGGCTTTAGGCACCCTGCGAGCATGCTCTCCTCTTGCACTGCTCCGCGCCGGTGCTCTGAGTCAGCAGCCCAGCTAACGCGCCTTGCCTCCCCACCTCGTGCTCAAAGCCAGGCCAGCCATGCTGGTGTAGCAGGTTGTCTAGGGGGACCCCAGGTTGGTGCTTGGGTATCACGGCGCCGACCTCCAGTCGTTTGCTTTTTGGCT